CGATATTTACAATTTATCCCACTAGCCCGTTGCTTCATAAGCGAAAATAATAAAAATTACAATTTGGACCCGAATTTGTAAAAATAGAATCCCAGCAGAAATAAATTTACTAAATATTACACATTTGAAATAATTTTTAAAGAAACATGTCAAAATAGAGATTATTGCAAGTTACCTAATAAATTCTACTATTTCTACGGCAAATTCAGTCACTTACAATCGCAGCAGAAATAAATTTACTAAATATTACACATTTGAAATAATTTTTAAAGAAACATGTCAAAATTGAGATTAATGCAAGTTACCTAATAAATTCTACTATTTCTACGGCAAATTCAGTCATTTACAATCGAAAATTATAATTTTTGCGTTGTCATAAAAATTTAGTTTTCTCCGTGAAGAAAAACTGTTGCACTTTGAGGGCAGGGATATAGTACAGAATAGTATGCGGGCCTCGGGAAGAAAGTATGGCACCCTGAGTCAAAAGGTTTCATCTCCAGGAGTGCATACCGTACTTTCTTCCCTTGATGCAGCAACAAAAACAGAGCTTAAAAGTGGATGTAGAACCGAAAGCACATGTCACACCTTTTTTAAAATGGAGGCTGAAAGGAATCGCCAAAGACCAGAAAAGGGAGTTCTTATAGACAGTTGTTTAAAAAAATAAAGTATTTGGCAAATCATTGCATAGATCAATATAGGATTCTATTCAACAGAATTACGAAAATTAGTCAGGAATTACGATCTGTAATAGCATATGCGTGCAAAGTACAAGACCAACGGACGGAGACATAAATATCAACGGTAAATTAGGATATTTTTATAAATGGTATCATTTTCTCTTAGAGGATGATCTTCTATTTCGAAATATGTGCATGGCCAATTAAAAGTTGATTTCTTATTAAATTATCTGAACCTATTGCTCAGGATAGGAAAGAGTAGAGTGGAGATGCGTGTCCAACCAATCTTGGGACTGACGACCTTATAATGATGATGATGATGCCTATTGTTTTGTTGCGGAGAAATAAAATTAGTGTAAGTACAGGCTTCTATCGTATGCTCGTCTTTAGCAAGGCAAAAAAATAGGCCAACGCTTCCGCAATTGTGATTAAGTATTCTAACAATAAACGAACGAAATTATTCTCATAAAACACGTGGTCTGTTTTGGCACAGTTCAGACATTATGTACCTACATAGGTATGCTCTCATCTCAAACTGGCGCGTTTTCATGGGATGTGTAGTAAATAATAATACTTTTCCACGTGGCAGTTAAATAAAATCGACAAAAAAATATGTTACATATCTGCGATGTTTTACCTATACACGAAAATTAAGTAACAACCTGTACACCTCCGCTAAACAACACCATAATAAACGTTAAAAAAACAAAACATTTTTTTATATTATAGAAATATTTACTCTACACAGGGCATTGTGTAGTTACTCACGAAAGGATTAAAAAAGTTAAAAGCGATTGAAATGTGGTGTTTCAGACGGACGATAGAAATATCGTGGATAGAAAACTCTGGAAGTAGGAGAACATAATATGACATGGATGTTAATAGACAAAAGGACACTTTCTGAAACATGAAGGGATAGCTACAGGCATATGAGAAGCAAACACAGGAGTAAAGAGAGGCAAATAATTGAGCATGTGGGATGTTCCAGTTTTTGGGAAATGGCAAGATTGGCTAAGGATAAAGGACCGAATGGAGGTACTTGTCTAGGACGAAACTGCTTAACAAAACAACATTACTACATGGAATAAAATTAAAAAAATCATATGCGAATTTAAATGCCAATTTCGCTTTACATTCCTTGGTTTTTACTTGTAACATCCACGTATTGTTCCCCTATTTTTTCTGTTAACTGCTTAACTTTTTCACTGTTTGGGATCACACGAACTTTAAATTAGACAACACTTATCTAACCATATAAAAGCAATCAGCAATAACATTAATATGACAATAGGTGCCCTCGTACCCTTACAATTACTGTCCCCTAGTTGTTCATAAATAATTAATTACATACCATAACAAAAACTAATTTATTACGTTTTACACAACTTATTGTACCTATTGCATAAAAGGGCCTCTACTAAATAGGCATCTAAACAATACATTAGTTAGAAGTACATATATTACATATGTGACAAAAATTTTTTTGTGACACCGGTATCTTTCAGACCTTACATTTACTTTTCAAAGAATTAGTTGGGATTAGGATTTTATACTAATTTTCATTTGGTAATTGTGCCTTCTTCAATGGTTGATTATTTGTATTCCCGATTAATTTAAAGACACTAATGAAAATTTAACGATTATAAAAAAATAGGTTCTTGACCACGTGACATTGTAATATACATAGATTGTGTAATAAGTAACTAACGATTAATTCTAATATTTTTTCGTAAACCGTATTCTATGTATAAATTGTAAACAATCACGAGATTTAGACGAAGACATTTCTAACAGCTGCGTTAGATGTAAACAATAAACAAGGGCCCAAGAACAAGAACACATCTCTATTAAGATAAAACGATTCAATACAGCTGTATAAAATATACGCAGGTACATATTCAAAAATTGCCAATTGATAAACAAATAATGTAATGCCAAATATCCAATTTCACAATAAGACAGTCGAATGACCCGATTACTTATCAAGCAATACACGCGACAGCGAACAGATTCTATCATCAGACAGAATAACAACATTTAAATAACTTACCGTCGTTTCTCTTTTTGATTGGGTTTTGATTTAGTATCCATTGTGCATACAAATCTGCCTTTCAATAAGTTCTTCTGAATAACATTTAAAATTCAAAAGAAAAACTTCACTATAACTGGTAATCAACAACTAAATACTACACTTGACTAAAACTTTCTGATTATTATGACGTCAAAACATCAAGTTGTTTCGCCTTCGCCTCACCAGGCAGACATTTTACAACTAAACAGAGACAAATACACACAGATCCTTCTCGCCGTGGCTAATGTCACACTGTACGGCAAGGTAGTCGAACAAATGTACAAATATTAAACATTGTTATAAAAATTATAAAACACAGCCTTCAATTTAAGGCCAGATTTTATTTTTACCATTAACATGGTGAATACAGAAAAATAAACAAAGTTCAACACTAGTTCAATTCACTTATGTATTGTTATTTAGGTTTAGGGAATTCCCCTTGGAACTGAAGCACATTTATCATAAAAAAAATATTACGATACGAGTTTTTCTTTGTTTGCAAATAAAACAACAACCAACATTTTGCCTTTTCAATAGATATATAAAAATATACTAAAAATCTATTAAAACGACTATTCTAAAAAACCTGAATCCACAATGCCTCAGCTTTGTTAAAAACCGATTTCGCTTCTGTTTTGTCCTGAAAATTTTCACAAATATTAAAAAAAACATTTTATACAACAAACTTTATTCAAGGGCCACAAACTAACAACAAAGAACAAAAAAGGTACTCCTTGATCTTATCCACAGAGCATGTACATATATTTAGAACTACTTATGGTCACCATCTGGATTATTGGACGATAATTTAGCAGTCTCCTTTTCTGAAGCTTCCATGGCTTCAGCAAGATCATCATCATCACCCAAGTCCTTTTTATATAAAGTGGGATATTTTTGCATACAAGATTGCATGGTTTTAAATAAATCGAAACAATCAGTACCTGTTATAAAATTAAAATGTTCATCCATAACACAAATGATAATATAATTTACCTTTTGGATCGGCAGTAGAATAATGAAAACAACTAAATGCATTTCTAAACTCAACACCACATGGTCCTGTTGCCATACCACCTAAACAAGGGCAGTTCCAATTAATATCACCATTTGGTAAAATGAGACCCGGTTGAGGTTCAGGATCTGGCAATTTTATTTTGCTTGGAATTTTATGATCCTCTGGAGTGGCAAATATTACTTTGTCCTTTCCTTTGGGACCAAGTTGTTTACAATACGACATGTCAAGTTTTAGGTTATATTTTTTTATCGAAGTCTCTACTATCTCCTACTAAATTTAATAAGTAAGGAGAGGCCTTATTAACGCGAAAAACGCAAGTAGATGAACCGTATGAACCAGCAAGCGTTAAACTACTTCTTATTTTGACGTAATAATCTGAAGGTACACGTATAATAGCTCGTCTCGAGGAAGGACGATATTTCAAAACATCAAAATCTACTGAGGCTGCAACTTCTCCAAATAACTGCTTAACTGATTGAACTATGTGGTTTTTAAAATAAGCAGCAGTCACTTCTACCTTACTGTTATTTTCATCTGGCAAATCCCTATAAGTAATAATAAGGTTAAAAACGAACCACACTCGAAAAACACATTAACTTTTGTCGTCAAACATACAGACAAATGTCCATGTAGTAATATCTATTCATGTGTATATTTCCATTTATATTTTGAAGTTTTCAAAATATTACGAAAATTTTTAGATCGGTTACTATTAACATACAATTTGAAATTTATCAATAAACGCCTTACGCGTAGGCCATTATGTCAACAAATAAAAGGTCAAAAAATAATGAATTGCAGCCTATTACCGCCCTCTGCAGAATACGAGCAAGACTAATACATTACTCCATTGAACATTAGTTACCTAATAACGTAAAATTATAATTCAGTTTTTTTCTGATAGAGGTAGACTCGTAGCTTATATTCACTAATCTAAAATAAAAATACTCTACAAGGTGTTACAATATAATCCAACCTAGATTTTTATTTTAAAAAATTCTAAAGAATTCAATAAAATAATACCACGTATAAATTTTACACATAGATTAAAATAAAAACTCCAAAATAAATGTACACTAATCGTAAATTTTAGTTTAGTAACGAAAAAATAAAATAAAACCTAAGCAAATTTACGGTAGGTACTAATTTAACAGTAGTATTTAATTAGTAGATAGGTATATTAAATTTTTATATTTATTGTAATAAAACCACATAAACACAACAGCATAAATCATTTAAGGATATGCACTTTGTTTTAATTTTATTACAGACAAACATTACCATATGTGAACCTTCACATAAACAAACTTTCATTTAAATAGAAGGTGGATACATTAAAAGTTTCTAAACTAACAGGTAATTAAGGTACCTAATTAAAATTCAGGGTTCAAATCTTTAGATGAATTTCTTAATTCTCTACTTTTATAATTTTGAATTAATCGATGGCAACATTAGTTCTATTTCTTGTCCTGGGTAATTTATATATAATTAAGGAACATAATTGGTGTGTCTACAGTTTGATAAAATGAATTACATACATAGTTTAGGAATTTTTGAACTCCAATCAAATATTTTTCGTCATTGTCAAAAAGATTGTTTGTAGTATTGAAAAAAAAACGTAGTTTATACATTATCAGAGAAAAACTATTCAGTCGTATATATTTATTACCAATAATTAGCGCCTTTATGGTAAATTCATTTAAATATTACGATGAGTATACTAGCCGAGGATCACGCTTTCCTCTACTTACAAATCATATTTGAACATCTGTACAAATGAAATTTACATTTTTAATTTATAATGAATATGGGTGCAAAGTAAAAGCTTTTAAATGTTTCAGCGAATTTTATTAACCCACCGAATCACTTGTAGATTTTAATAAAATTCGTTAAAACGTTTAAAAGCTTTTACTTTATTTGTAATCATTATTAAAAAATGTTTTATAAAACCATTACCGAGGTTCCATTCCTGTTTTTTATTTTATTGTAAAATGTTCAATTTACACCCAAAATTTTCAATATTAATAGGTATATACGAACATAGAATTATAAGCACCTAAATGTAAAGATATTAACTTGACATACGCATTAAATGTCCCCTTACTTTTGTATAATATTGCATATTTGCAATGAGACACGTGATGGCTCTTAGTAAGTTTATTATCAATAATTATTTTATATTTAGAAATATCTTTAGAAATATAAAAAGATGTGTCTCAGGTAAGATTATGTGGATAAATATACATTAATAAACTCACTAAACACGCGTCTCATCCCGAATAAAATATTTAGCGGGCTGTGAGGAGCCCAGGGTGGTTTTCGAGTTCTGAGTGCCAAAAATGACTTTACATAGTTCGCGTCTAAAAGATTACTTTACCAATTATTAAAGTATTGGAAAAAAGGCGCCAAAGTTGGGGGACCTTAACGGTCGGCACCTGGCAATTTCAAAAATTTTTTGAAGGTAAACTACTTCAAATAAGTTATTTAAAAAATATTTTTCGTTAGATAACGAAATATGTTTGAGATTTGAGTGCCTCCCGTATCATTTTTTGGAGAGATATTTTTTTCTGGACCTCGATAAAAGTTACTAAATTACCCCTGTATTTTAAGTAAGTCATTTGTATAACTTTGTTTAATACGCACATTTTTTTATTTCTTTTTAAATTTTAAATTATATATTACCTCCGTTTCACTAGCATTATATGTATCCTATAGGAACAACTGCCACCTTCATTACCTATATAATTAATAAACTTATTATAAACAGCATCACGCGGCGTCTCATTAAAAATTAAGATATCCAAAAGGTTGTTTATACATAATGGTTATCTACCCTCAGCTAAAGTTATAGTACCTATGGAATAAATTAAAGCAACTGTTTCCATGGGTCTTAAAAATTAATGTTGTACAGAATTTGTTCTAAGCATAGGTTTATTACCTGTTAATCGTAAATGTAACTTCAAGATACTATTATCGCAGTTTCCACGAAGCTTTTGTAACAATAGGTATTCATACAAGGAAACGTAAAACTTATTATTAGAGACCCTATATTGTAAAACGTGTTGATCAGAACATTATAAACTAATACAAACTGAATAATATTCAGAAATGTCTGACACATTTCCATTGTAATACCTAAGCCGAAGCTGTATTGCTGTCGGTTCTAGGTAGGTATAAAGTAGTGGTTAAGTTATAAAAGAAGGAATAGATACCCTAAGGTGAAAACGTAGTAATACACCTGTCCCACGAACAATCATGTTTAGCAGTTTTTAATAGTAAGCAAAATCTTACATTTACTTTTAGGAAATTTCTTTAAAATTTTAATACTTTACTATTTTTCCAAGATATTACCGTTTTTTTGGGATATATTATTACTATAATTTATTAGTTTACCACAATGAAATTGTTATAAAAATCTACAGATAATAATAATTGAAGTATTTTTCGTTTTATTGATTAATGTTTGAATTAGCTCTTATATACAAGATCGTTTTTTATAACAGAATTATGATAAAAACGATTTTCTGTATAATTTGTGAAATACTTAAGGAATCTAAGGCCGGTTCTTTGTGAAACTTTATTGAAATCAATCAAATTCAAAACGCGGTCGCTTTTTAATGCTCACTTTATTTATAGATTGTCTCTAAAATTGTTTCAACATGATAAATCGTCTTCAAGAGTACCCGATTTTCTATGCATTAAAAAGCGACTGTGTTTTGTATTTAAGTAGGTGATGTATGAAAGCTCGATTGTTATTTTATTTTCAATATGTCAATATCATTTCGATTTTGTCTCGAAGTTTCTTAATAAATGTAATCAGGCACTGGTTTAGGAGGAGTATTTCTTTTGTACATTTGCATCCTAATTATTTATTTAATGATAAATATAATAAATCGCAATTTCGAAACAATGAAAACTGTTTATAAACAACGCTGTTTTGGAAAGGTTTTTTAGACTTTTATCTTTTTGCTTTCGCCTGACTATTCCATCTCTAAAGTTTATATTTATATTCTTGTACGCTTTAAGTTTTATACAAAGAGCATTTCATATCTTTTTTTTTGTTGGAGAGACCTAGTTTATAGTTAAACATAACATTTCTTTTTATCGCTAAAATTTAAGTTTTAAACACACAATTAATCTAATTTAAAGTTTAAAAGTAGATGCAATAATACAAGTTCCCATTTAAACGGGACCGTCCAAAAACTTTTTGAGTTACATTTAACGAAAAAAAAATGTAATTTACGTATATATGCACTTATTTAACTGCGTAACTTTTATTTTATCATCAGTAACAAACAACAATTCAATTTTCAAGTTAAAACTTGGTTTCCTGATTCCTATACAGATTCCGCTTATCTCTCTTATTTGTGGCTATTTAATAGCGACTTAATAAAATAATAAAATTTGAATTTCCTTTAATACGAATTTTTCAGTGGTTATAGAATTGTATCGCAACAACTGAAGAATATAACGAACGAACGTGTAATGCAAAATAAGCCTTTTTTTAAGCCGATTTAATAAAATATGCAAGATATCAAATATAGTTCCGCGAAGTTCTAATTAATAGTAACCAGAAATTGTTGACTTCTGTTTATGATGCGGTAGTAGTAAATAAACATGCTGCTGTACTAGCGATTCATGGATAAGAAAACAACACGGAAAACAACACTGCTACTGACTGACTGGTGCGTTCATCCGGCGTGTTTTGTTCTTTTCGCTCTCTACGGCATCGGCACACATTTGTAAGTTGCGCTGCGTCGCGTCCCGGCGTCGGCGTCACCGACGACGAGATGCGACTACCAGCATGGCAATTGCCGCCGCGTTGCGCCGGCCGCGTTCGCTTGGCGTCGTTTTCTCCCATGGCATACGCTACGCTCTCGGTCGACCGTCAGTCAGTTCGAGTCCGACTTAGTGAGCTGGTAGAGGTGTGGTACCAATAACGGTGACGTACCACTAGCTAGTGCGGTGTCCTATACACACCGAAACAGAGAATGAGTAGTATTCGCGGCATAGACGCGTTCGCAGACGGTCCGATGATGATGATGATGTCGTCGGCGTCAGCGTCGGCACCAACAGCGGCGTCCGCGGCAGACGCATCGATTTCCTACCCCCACCATCACTACGACGACCGCCAGTGGCGTCAACATCACCAACAGCAGGCTGTGGCCACGACGCCTCAGTCGCACCGACGTCAGTCGAGGGCCGACTGTCGGTCAGAACTTACAGATATGACTGCGTGTTATACTTCATACGAGCTTGTGCCTCCTTCTGCAACTCCGGCTGCCATCACTGCCACTGCTGCTATGGTCCAGCAGCAGCAACAACAAACCACCACAATTGTCGGAGGAAGGACTCCGACCCAGCCTAGTGCCCTAGTGCAACAAACGACTCCTGTCGTTCAAAAGGACTATTCATTACCGCTCCATGTGGATTGCAGCGTCGAATATGAACTCCCGAATCAGGCGAAACCACCGGCGGGTGTCCGTAACGAACCTCTGCTCATGATTCATCCTTGCTACTTCCGCAAGATCGAGAGTCAACGGCGGAGCCCCTTTATCAACAACCTGCCGACGAAACAGACGCCCGCATCCAAACGAAGAATGGCCAAGATCCAACAGATCAATAACCAGCTTCAGCAACACCTTCATCAACAACAGCAACAGCAGCAGATGCCCCAGCCGGCCGTGGCGCAGTTTCCCATGCATCCGCAACGGCCGCCACAACAGCAGATGTGGGATCCGATGCCACCCTTGGTGCCGATATCGGCTGCGGCTGCGGTTCAACAATCTTGCTGCAAAAGAGACATTTCCGGGTGCAACGCGTACAGCTCCGGTTCCGCGGATTCCGGCCACTGGACAGATCCGGACAGGTCGCCGGACCGGCCGGATAACAAGCACATCTTTTCCGGGAAGTACCGGCAGTACCTCCGGGCACACAGACTGCAACCATATATGACGTCGGAATTTCCGATTGCGTCCACGTTTCCGCAAATTCAGCAGGTGTGCTACAATGTGTGATGGCTGTGATGTGATCCGGAACATTGTGATAATAGTGTGTAATGTATTAGGGTGTGCGCATGCGCCCAGCTCCGGGCGTGGTAGTGATCCAACAGCTGTTCGACCCACAGTTGTTTTTTCCGATTTTTCCGAAATGATGGGATTCCACTTTTTGTTGAAGTTTTAGCTCTACAAATTAAACTGACTGAAACGATATATACCACTATACATTCTTTCATCTTTGTCGACTGTTTCTGTCTATATTTATTGATTGTCAGGGCTAGTTTATCAATATATTAGAAGGAATAACGTTGTCTTTTCAAAATTTAGGAAGGTTTTAATTAGATTAAGTGCGAATCAATGGTAATATTTCTTAGCTGATGGTTTAATCATAAAACCATAATTTGCCTTTGTATTTATTAGCGTCTGATCGATCTTTTTCGCGACCGTAAACCAAAATAATCTGTTCGCGATTCCCCAAATTTCATTATTTACGGCCACGAGAACGTGACACTTAGTTACCATCGCCGTGCGTGATATTAAGGGAGAAATGAAAACGAACGTCCCCTATTATCTAAATTGTTCTTCAAACAAACTAACAGTTCGCAACTGTACCTACATGACATACATACGTATGTCCAAAGTACTTTTAATTTCTTATCTTCTCATTTTGAATTTAATGCCTACTGACATGATAATCACCTGCCATTTATTTCATTGTTAATTGTATTACCTTAACGACCGTAAACAGTACCATTAATGCCGTTATTAAACAATCGACGATAGCAATTATACTGCGAATTACATTGCTTTTTTAGATGCTGGTCATGCTGATATTCAATCCCTTCTTTAATGGCCCTCGTAAAAAAAATTGTAAATTGTGCAGTTGCGACAATATGCGGATAAGTAGATTCCGTTCATTGAGCATTTTTCTGTTTCGTTCGGTAGGTACTTTACACCATTGCCCTAAGAAACGGAGGGTACCTTTTTTCGTCTCCCTATTCTAGCCGCTCGACATGCGTTTTAATCATTAATGATGTATTGATAGTGCCTCGTGTACTAAATGTCACGAACCTCCTTTCTGTGTTACCCCGTAGTTTTACCAAACGCCTTAGCTAGATGTGTGTGTATTACGAGACACCCATTTGTCTTTCACGTCACGGCAATTGTGACCAATTTTTTTAAAAATTTCTTTTTTACCGTACCTCCACCGAAAGTACGATTTATTTCCCTGATTTCAGGGATGACGGAGCAACATTCCATCTCGGGTTATAAATTGCATTTACTTCTTATTAGGAAAGTATTTCATCCTTCGCGGCAGATTTTAAATTGGTAGGAGCTTTTGTAATAATCAGTGAATATGCGGTTTCCTACCTGAAATCAGGAAAAATTGTACTTTCGGAGAAGGGGTCTGGTAAAAAATCATATCCGGTCCTCGTGAAGAAAGTGCGGTAACCCCTTTCAGGAGGGAATGCCGCACTTTCTGTCCTTGGTACGTAATTAACGATTTAGTCATTGGCACCTTAAGTGCCGTCAAGTACGTTATGACAAGATTATAAATATCTAAACGTTGCCAAAACTTTTTGTAGCCATTTGCTGTCACTGATTTTATACATTCTTTCGGGTACCTGTTTTTCTCTGTAATAGTACGATTTGTCGCCGTGTTTTCTGTCGCTTTGATTATTTTTTATTATTTTTCGGAAATATTGCTAAATGGTACCACTGGTAATAATGTAAACTTGTAATCATAATTGATATGCTTATTAGACAGGTAATACCTAATACCTACATTTATTGCACACATACACAAACATTATGCAGCCAGAACATGTAATGAGTAGTAGTCACGGTAAAATGGTACTGCTGCTCGTGAGTGTTTATAAAAAAAAAAAGGGAACCGATTCCGAAATCAAACTTATTAACCCTGTTATTATTATTATTGTAGCTTATTCGCTGTCAGAGCTCTCGGCAAATGCATTAAGTACATAAATACGATATTACAATATTATATTGTCGTTAATATTTATTTTGGTGTTATTGTGACGATATGTAAGATAAAAAAGACGTGTCCGTGTACTCCTTACGGGAAGCTAACTCTGAAATTGTAGAAAAAGTTCCTAGAAATTGTATATAGGTAAATACAAACATGCAGACAGCGTTTCGGCTGTGGTGAAATTTATTTTCATTTTTGTATTTAAAACGTTGTAGGGCGTATTGTAACCATACTCTACTACTACAATACTATACTGGTGTCAACCAATTTTAGCGGTGATGTTATGTTTTAGAATGTAGGTAAATTCGTTTTTCTATTATTTTTGTTCTTTTATACACGATCGGTACTAGCCTGAAAAAAACTTTGATCCTCTTATGAATTGAACGCGTATCATATACTTGTTGGTGGATTTTCTTCGTATTATCGATCAGTATTGAAAAATGAACGGGGTAAGTCCTTAATTTTTCATTATTTTAACGAGATTTCAACAATTACCATCAAAAAAGTAGGTAGGTAGTATACCTATCACCAAAATTGAAAATCATAATGAGTTTTTGATTATTTCAGATTAAAATATTTCACAATTAGTTTCGGATCGATCAGTTAATTCTTTTGTTATTAGACATGCGGTTGTACCTGCCTAACTTTTTTTTTATGTACCTAATCCGAGACCGTTGCTTTTCAATTTTTATTTTAATTCAACCTTTACACAACAATGAGTCCATTATGAAGCTTGAGAGCAAAATAATTTTACAGTTTTTAAATTGTGTTTTGTATTTGAAGGCCGCCAGTGTTTAAGGACCTGCCCACCTTTACGGAATAATTGGTTTAGTTCTTAAACTAAAATTTAATCGATTTAATTAGATTCGGCTTGCGTGCCTACAAGGTTCTGAAAATATTCAATACCTACTTGGTTATAGACAAATACTTTCAAAAATGTATCTATTAGATATAAAAAGGATCAAATTTTTTTTTTTATTTAGTACCTACCTACTTATATTGACATCAGCACCAAATCTACAGATGCCATATCGATATTCGATCCATTGATGAACGATTATAATCCTACTACCTAACACATTAGAAGATACGATAATAAACTTAGTTTATTGTATATCGCGAAGTCTAAATTTAGTTCTTAGTTTATGTCTTTCTTTTCGAGCAGAACAGTTGTAGTAGCTGTAATATTTTCCTAACTATTAGTAATTATTAATTAAATAAGATACAGCCAAATGAAATTGGCCTTATACGACTGTAACATGAAAGAAGTAAAATAGTGATGTGTAGATCTTATTTTTCCAGCGTCGTCGTTAATCTCAGGCTATTTGCTTGTGTATACCTACATAATACATTTATCTATTAATAATAATAATGATGATGATGATGATGATGATAATACTGAATTAAAGCCGTCAGATTTCCAGAGATCTGATTGTGTCCCTTGTATTTTACTACATATATGGCTAAAGAATAGCTAGACCAAAGAACTATCTATCAAGTGTATATATATTACGATAAAACACATAAAATTCGAGCGGTCGTCGTGCTCGACGACTACAAAAAATTTGTGAATATGTATAAAATATGCTATATATCGTATATATATAATGTACAGCTAGTCATAGTAAAAGTACGCTTATAAAACAAATAAATCGTGTTACTGTTTTTATAATCAAATGTTTTGTTTTTTTATTCATCTAATCCAGTCCAATATGATAGCCAAAGTAGTTACTACTACGGCAACTAAGTATAAAAAGTGCCCATATAAAATCATACCTATTACCTATAAAATACTATAATCTTAAGTTAAATAAATGTGTCTATGACTGTTTACCTACTACAAAACAGTGTGGTGTTGTGTTGTTTGTGAACGCGAAATGGTTTTTTTTACAACTGATGGATATTTTATTTAGGTAGGTAAGTAGGAAACAGTTATTTTACGTTTTAATTATAATATTTTGTGTAAATTCAGAGGAAGTGGGCCGTAACAGTTAGCGTGGAAACGGTGTATATTAGTTCTAGAACCCTTAACTGTCTTTTCGGTTATTTAAATTTTTAGACGATCCATGATTTTTTACGTTGGATCTTTTCGATTTTTTTTTTACTATTTTATCAGTTATAAAGTGTCGAAACGCGTCTTAGAGTTTTCAAATGTTTTTTTAAAGAAATTAAGTTCAGTCTCACATAACTTCATTTGATTTTCTAGTTTATAACGTAATAATAATCAAAAATAAAATTATTAAAAGCAGAATACGACCGTTACTGCAAAGCCTAAATTCCGTCTGTACGATTTTTCCGTTCTTTTTATTTTGAGACAACCTTCGCATTTCTAGAAAACTCAAACAACCTACAACTCTAACCATTTTGCTAAAAGTAATCGTATCTAGGGCTACCTCTTTATCTCTTAACTCTTGCTTGTTTCTGACATGCCTCTAACTAGCCCTTCATGTCCGATAAGGTGTCCTACCAATCTCTCTCGCCTATAGACTTTTATAATCGCAGATTCGATATACAAATTAAAAAGTAGCAGTGCAATGGCCTTCTTTATCTAACTCCCTTTCTAGTATTTGTTTATATACGATGTTGCGCAAATTCTGCAACTATCTCTTGCTCTTTTTATCAACTATATATCATTCTTCTAACCCTAATCCTTAAGTATTTTAATATCTTTTCCCACTTCACATTATCCTTAGGCAAGTATTTCAGATTTTCAGTTGTTTGTCTTAGATGACGATCTTAAGATTACACGGTAGGAAAAGACAACATAAGCGAAGGGAGGTATACATATATCGCATGGAATTTACGTGCGGGATTAAAAATTTTCTGTCCGGAATTTTCATACGTGTAGGGGACCATTACATGTAGAACAAATCAGACTGATTTTACACCAACCTATTGTTACAGTTCAAATATTGTTGTTTTATTGTTATATGGAAAAACATTTCCCGATAGTAATAATTAATTAAATGAAAAAGTATGTATGTAGGGGTATTATTGTTTTACTACTTCTATTATTATATTTTAATAGTTAATTAGCGCTTTTGGCTACATATGGAATACTATAATAACAAACTAATTTCATTGTGTGCGAATATGGGAAACTCTTTTAAATAAAGTTGATATTATGTACTACAAATATTAGCGTACAAAATGAAGAAATATCTAATGCCGATAATTATTTAAATAAAACAAAATACTCATCGTGTCTGGTCAAGGTAGACAATCAAGTATCATAATGATACATGCTGATTCGAAGGTTTGACAAATCCTGTCTGACGGATAATCAATAATCATAAACATAATTTGATAAAGAGATTTGCAAAATCGATGATAATCTCTGTAAGCTTCACTAATTCTATATAATTAATTTTTTTTATAAATCGCTTTGTAGACGTAGCCCTATATATGTTTACTATAAAAACAAAACAGATAATATTATGACTTTTTTCCTCTTCTTAATGTTATGTGCATAATTATAACACAATTGGAATGTCAATTCTTCCATATTTTTATAAATATTGCATACATATTTGGCGTATTTATGTAAAAATTCTGCATAAAATCTTAATACACAACACGGTTTTGCCGTAGGTATAGGCATTTGTATATCTGGACATTCTGGTTTTTATCGCCAATAAATTTTTGATAAGTATATGTTCAGATATATAAACTAAGTATATATATGCTTATATATACGTTAAATAATAGATTGGTTACGCCTTCGACTATAAAATAAGATAGATGTGAATTTCTCTGTAGCATACATATAAAGGTCCTTTTAATTTACGAGACCTTTTTGTTGGTAGGTATATACTCGAATCGAAGACCACGTAGTGCGTGTTAAATGGCAATAAGGAGTAGGCAAAAATTTTAAAAAAATTTGCTGTTTTCCATACAGTTTTATTTAAAAGTGAAATAACTTGCAATGCTTACATTCAATTAATTAATGATTTGTAGATGCCCATTATGTGTTGTAACAAATAACTGTTAATGTACCTGCAACAAAAAAAAAGCATTAGTACATTCGTGATTGCATTTTACAAAATGGGCTTAAGTATTATTCCCACTCTTTCCTATACTAAGCCAATCTTTCAACTTCCCTTAAACCAGAACATTCTACATACATTATTACCTCTATGAACAGTTATCTATAATGATCTAATCTAATTTTGCTTCTCCTTCTTTTTATTCCTGTTCCTACCACCTCTAATGCCTATGTCTCTAGTCAGCTATTCATGTCTCAGAAGATTAATGAGTTTCATAGCGCCCTTTGTTTCTATCGTTTTTCAATTTACGTATAATTAACTGTTTCCGATTTCCTATACTTTGTTTTATATCCCTAGTTATCTGACTTCCTATACATAGACATCGAAAGTCAGTGACTTCATCTAATTATAATGTACACTAATTAACTTATTTGATCAAGGTTTTCTAAACTCAGAAACAATTTTTATCTACGGAGGACAGTTACGATTAAAACTACTGTGACATTCGTTTTGATAAGAATTACTGTTTATTTTATTACTCATAAGTTAACCTAAACTTCATGTTTATATTTTTAATCTAAAAACAGTTAGCGTGACTTATTCGTAAAAAATAGGCAAATATAAGTACATACTGAGTTAAGACATTTCTATCTTAGTAGATAGACTTTTTTGGATCTAACAATTTCGCCGTAGTTTTTAGATTAGTTTTACCATCACAGGAACGTCACGAAAACGCCAGGAGCCTTGGCTTTTTTGTCAGTAATAAGCTGACATAATTAATTATATCTCATTAATTATAACTTTATTGTATGCGGCAATATGGAAACTATGAGCTATTATCATATTGTGAAAGTTCTATCTTAATCGGATTAGTATATTGTGCGTGGATTCCTAAAAAAAACTAACTTTACGAATTTATATAGGTATACATATATATGTAAACATTACGTCAAACAACGTTCAATATTAAATTTTCCTACAACCATGCAGATATATGTGAAAAAAATCAGTAAACAGTGAAAAATATATCGCGTTCATAATAATACATTTCTGCTTTTTTTTATGGTACGGCGTGATTATATAATTAAGTGAAGACAATGGCTTTTAAATTTAATTATAGGTACTGCTGGTTATGTAGCGGTTGGATCACTGACAGTTAAGCAATTAAAAGACGCAGCAGGGTTTATCAAGGAAATTACTTCTTTGTCATTTTGTTAAATTATGGTATTGACATTGCCGTAATTACATACAGCTAATGGTGATGTAAATGTACCTACCTAATATCAATTAAAAGCAATTGTTTCTTATAATTTAATTACTATCTAAAAACGGCACAAGTAAGTACATACTGAGGTCAAAATTGAAAAGTGAGGTTTCTGGATCGAGTCGGGCCTCATATGAAAGGCTTTACTTACGCAATTGTTTAACAAAGAACTCGTTTTTGAACTTATTGATTCTGAACCGTACTCTAAAAGAAATTTCGATTTTGTAGGAATTTTTTTATCCCTTTTTTGCTGAAACGTTAATGCATACAGTCCATAGAAAAAATTACCCCTCAACATTTGCTTTGTGTTAAAAGCAATCGAAGCAAAACCATAGAAGCTCCCTTCACGTGTCGCCGGTTAACTTAAATTCGGAGGGTGAGTTACCCCAACTAAATTAATGTATCGTGCTATCGCCAACAATAAATATTTCAGGTAGCTACATGTACGAATGATAGAATAGGGACAGATTATGTACCGATATTTTTCTGAAAATTTATCCTTTTTACAGGTAGGCACAGTACTTCCTACGAAAATTCAAGATAGCTATTTATTGACTGAAATTAATTAGTCTTCATATTGCGTCAGATTTCTGAAATTTCAAACATTTCAGCAATTTAGAGAGTATCGTTTGAAAATAGCCCACTTCTGAAGCTTTTAGCAAAGGACAATTTCTTCTCCGATAAAATTTTCCTAGTTTTTTTAACGTTTATTAGAATTTAATTTAATAATTTTACTTATGTTTTAAAAGAAGAAAAAAGTACAAGTTATTAAACCAATAAAGATACGATTTTTCCAAAACGGATTAATAATTACAACAAAGGTAAAATTAAAGAAAAATTATCCTGACTTATTATGGTAATTACTGCAGATAAATATAAATTGGTACAGCTGCCCGACCACCCAAGTTGTACTAAATCACGTCGTGATTTTTCTTAAACATAAATTATTGCTATTTCTACTAAATGCTGTAAAAGAAGTTTTAGGAATTGTGTATGCAGGGTGTGGGAGGTGTGTGCTAAATCAATTTATTATCGTCTTCTTGCAGCATGGAAGAAATATATTACAGAAACATTTAACTTAGGTATATATGCACTCTGGCCAACAAGTAACCCAAATTTATTTTAAATAAAAAAAAATGAGAAGGCCTTATAAAACACAGATGTTTGTCGGTAAATTTAGAAGTACGCATTTTTCTTATTTAACCAGACCAAAACAGTTAAAAATAAAATTTACAAGCATTTAAGTCAAATTATATTAGCCACCTAATTAACAAGTACAGATTAAAATAATGAATAGGCACCTAAATTACAGTGCACTTGTAGAGAAAACAGCGACTCAAAGTAAAAATTGCAGCACATTTTCTTTGATGATTCAAATTAGGTATGTACTGGATGGTAGTTTTGTCGGACACTGGATAACCGGGTAC